AGAAAACAAGACCGGATTGACGCAATAGTCCAATGGACTTACGATTAATAGTCTCTCCTTTCCCGAAGCTAATTACTAATCTTTAGAGAGGAGAACCAGAACGAACGACTACAAAACGGCATGACATTAATTTATTTTCTTTGACTCACGGCCAAAATTCTTGGGTAAATTTCAAATCTCTCTCTCTCTCTCTCTCTCTCTCTCTCTCTCTCTCTCTCTCTCTCTCTCTCTCTCTCTCTCTCTCTCTTAAAGAGAAAACATCCCTCAAGTCATTGAGGCAAAAAAAACCCAAAATATTATCCTCAAAAAAATAAATAATAAAAATATTTTCGCTCTCCAGGTATAGCTAGCTACTCTATCAACTATAGATCGAAGGAGAAAAAAGAATTTTCTTCGAGGCGAACTCTACTTTACCCGGCGAAGATAACTCAATATAGAGAGAAAATGAGACTTTATATTTCCGAAATGAAATTGAGTTAAACATTTGCATGAGGGTGAGAGGACGTTGCCAATTGCTCATAACAAATGGCACGTTGCAAGGAACGCACAAGATGTACTTAATTTAATAAGCGCGGAAGTTTGCACTGCGGTTTATACCGAGAAACGAAAAGTGAGTTCAAATCTCGCACGACAATTTCGTAGAGTGCCACTGCACGGACCATAGGCAATGTCGGTATCTTCAGAGAGAAATATGGGGAAAATACAGCCTTAATGTTGTTTTAATTAAGTAGGCGGTTTAGTGGAAAGAATACAAGCTTCTTGATTCTTCTTCTTTTCATTTGTCTATTTCGAGAGGTGGTCCATACACACACACACACACACACACAGACGTATGTCATGTCTCGTATGTTCAGACGAGATGGACGATTTCGCTTGACTAATCGTCACGTCTTTTCATTTATATACATTGCGCGCCTCCCGCGTTCTCAAGACAAGGAGAGAGAGGAAGCGAAACAGAGAAAGAATCGCAGAGGAGAGCAAATGAGAGAAAAATGTTGAGGAATTCTCGAAAATGAGAAAGTTCATTATTTTTTAACATTTTTCTTTGCACACTTTTCTGAGGATGCTAAATTCAGAGACTGCGTTTAATGTGTATATCTTGATTCGATTATAGTTAATTATTTCTTAATCAATCAATTAATTACTAATTATTACACTAGAAACTCGTTCTAGCGGCAAGAACAAAAACAAGAACAGAACCGACCGCTAAATCGAATAGCTGGTGTAGTTGCCTTAATTATTTTTCAATTTTTTTCATTTCATACTTTTCTGAGGATCATAAATTGTAAACAATTAAGTACAAATAGCTTCTTCAACAAATTTTTTCTCAACTACAACTCGCAGTAATATTTCAATAGGATAATATAAATACATCTAGAAAACAGATTTTTAAAGCAATTTACAATCTTTCTAAACCAAAAGAGGCAAAAATTGCAATTTTTGTTCTATAATATATTACTCTGATTTTCGGTATTGAAGATAATAGAAAAAGCGCAGCAACAGATACATTAATATCAAACAATCCGAAATAAAATTTTTAATTTAATAAAATTCATAGCAAAATTTTAATAAAGTATTTTTAACATTTTTTTAAAAATTCACTTTAAAATGTCAATTATTTTTATAAACAATAAAATTCTTCTTCAAAATTCCATTATTTAACAAAAATTTTAATAAAATTCTTGTCAAAATTTCAATTGTCTTTATAGATAATAAAATTCATCCTACAGAAATTCAATTATTTTCAAAAGTAATAAAATTCTTCGCATAAATTCACTTATGATCAAAATTTTTTGTTTAAATTCTCCTCAAAATTTCAATTATGTTTATAAATATCAAAATTCTTCTGCAAAATTCAATTACTATTAAACATTAAAAAAAAATCTGTTCAAAATTTCAATTATCTTTGTGAATAATAAAATTCTTCTCTGAAATTCAATTATTTGCACAGAATTTTAATAAAATTCTTCGCAGAAATTCACTTAAATTAGAAATTTTTTTAAAAATTTTTCGTCAAAATTTTGTAAGTAATAAAATTCATCATAAAAATTTAATTATTTTCAAAAGTTCTGATGAAATTTTTTGCAAAATTCAATTATCTTCAAAAGTAAGAAAATTCTTTACAGAAATTCAATTATTTTCAAAATTTTTTTTTAATTCTTCTCAAAATTTCAATTATGTTTATAAATATCAAAATTCTTTTGCAAAATTCAATTACTTTTAAATATTTCTAGAATAAATAAAATTCTTGTCAAAATTTCAATTATCTTTATAAATAATAAAATTCATCCTAGAAATTCAATTATTTCAAAAGTAATAAAATTCTTCGCAGAAGTTCAATTATTTTCAAAATTTTTTTTTAATTTCTTCTTAAAATTTGTATTATCTTCATCATAAAGAATAAAATTCATCCTGAAAATTTAATTATTTTTAAAAGTTCTGATACAATTTTTTGCAAAATTCAATTATCTTGAAAAGTAAGAAAGTTCTTCACAGAAATTCAATTATTTTCAAAATTTTTTTTAAATTCTCTTCAAAATTTCAATTATCTTTGTAAATATCAACATTCTTTTGCAAAATTCAATTACTTACTAATGTTTTATAAATTTCTTCCCAATAATTCAATTATTTTCATAAAAAATGATAACATTTTTTTTATAAAGTCTTATAATATAAAATAATAATTTTATCACTCGGTCATCTTTAATTATTATAAAACATGAAGACAACGATTGCTCCGAGTCGAAGACTCGGAGTGATCGATTTCTTCATGTTTTATAACAATTTTTTATAAGTTGTTTAATTTCAACAAGGTTTGAATTTGAATCTTTTGAAGAATTTTAATTTCTATGGAAAAACAATAATTAAATATTTATTTATAAAAGAAGTTATTGATGTTTTCGAAAAATTTGTAAATAAATGTAACAGAACATTTTTTTGACTCAAACTTTTTCCTTTAAACTAAAAAAAAAATTTAATTTCATTCGCATTTTACTAAAAAAAAATCTCGAAAAAGTCGATTAGTCGCATTTTTTCACAAAAAAGTCGAAAAAAGTCACATATTTCCTTAGAAAAGTCGAAAAAAGTCGAAAAAGTCGCACAATCCGTAAAGGAACCCAAAATTTGTCTAATTTGAAAAAATGATAATTTAAGTAGAAGAAGACGAAGAAGAAAAGGAAGAATTAGAGCAAATAAAGAAAGATAAAAGGGCTACATAGGAAAAAAGGTAGAGAAAATAAGAAGAGAGAGAGTGAGAGATTCGGCAGACGTCCTCATAATCTCTTTCTTCGAAGTTTGTCATCATCACAAGGGGTGGCTCAAAAAAGATATTTTCGTGAACAGCTAACTATATAAACTAGCAATAACACAGTAACAGCGTTGTTGATTGTCAAGATGGCATTTGCACAAGACGTCGTTCTCCCGCTTATATATACATGCATGTATACAGATGAGAGGATGTTCTCGTCATCTAGTGAAACAAATTGGATGCTAATTGCAGAAGGTGTGTGGAAAAGGGGTCTTTGAGGTCATCGCTAAATCCATTTAGCAGTTAGGACAGAATAATAACGCAAAGTCAGAACAGGAGAGTGTGTTTCTTGAAAACTCATTATGAGACCTTAGATGTGTTTTTACTCATCTTCTTTTTCTTTTTTTCTCTCTTATTTCTGACATAAAAAAGTGTTCATTATTTTTCACAAATATATTTATAAATATATGACTCCTTGCGACAATATTCTATATCCAAAAAGAGTGAAATCCAATCCAGATGAATCATTAGAACTTAATTGTTACAAATGAACAACAATTTTTTATTTTTCGATATACAGGGCTCGAACTAGGTCCGTAAATCCCGTAAAAGTCCGTAACTTTGCTTAAAATCCGTAAAAGTCAGTTTTTTTAAAAAGAAAGGTCCGTAATTTGATTGAAAAAGAACGAAAAGTTCGTAAATTGTACGATATTATTTGGAGAATTTTAGAGAAATTACAAATGAATGCAGAAATTCAATTATTTTCAAAGGTAATAAAATTATTCGCAGAAATTCAATTATATTCTAAAATTTTTTTAAAATCTCGTAAAAATTTCAATTATCTTTAGAAATAATAAAATTCTTCTCCGAAATTCAATTATTTTAAAAAAATTATGAATTATGAAATTTCACAGGAATTCAATTCTTTACAAATTTTCTATTTTCTTCGCAATAATTCAATTATTTTCATAAATAATAAAATTTTTACAGGGATTCTATTATTTTCGTAAATAATAAAATGCTTTTCAGGAATTCAATTATTTTCACAAATAATAAAACTCATTGCAGAATTTCAATTACTTTTAATATACAATTTTAATCAAATTCCTTGAAAAATGTAATTATTCTTAAAAATGATATTAAAATTTGTCGAAAAAATTCAACTATTTAAAAATTTGTTGATAAAATTATTTATGAGATTTGAATTTTAAGAAATATTTAATTATTCAATAAATTATTTATTTTTCTATTAAAATAATTCAATTCTAGTAGAATTTTCTAATAAAAATTGATTTTAAAATGAATTTCAGTTAAAATTTTAGATAATAATTGAATATTAAAAGCAATATAGTGTGAATTTTTAGAAATAATTGAATTTTGAAATTAATTTTTTTGAGAAAGTTTAATTGCTGATTCTTTTTAAAATTATTTTAAGTTTTTATTTTGTAATGAAATTAATATATTTGACTCAGAGCCAACTAGACTTTTTATTTGTTTCAAATAAATTTTATTTAATGCAATAAAATTTTATTTGGTTCAAACAAAAGCTTTATTTATGACTAATAAAATTTGTATTTAAAACAAATAAATAACCTAGTTGGCTCCAAGACAAATATACTTTTATTTAACTCAAATTATATTAGGTTTAAATAAAATTTTTCTCTGGGTGTATATTGATTGTTACTATAATAGAAAATAAATATTTCAGAACAGGACATTATAATTTTTTATCTCTTGCATTACATCACGACAAATGTGCAATGTAAGCGAAAAAAAAACTAAAATCTATATAGACATCGAAACACTTCACAAACTAACCAGTGAGGAAAAGCGACAGTCATATCTTTTACACGTTCAGGTACAATTTTATTATTCATTTAATTATTTAAATTGTGAAAAATTGCTTATTTCAAATTAAGTGTTTTTTATTGTCAATGGGAGAAAATAAATATTTGAGAACATTGAGTAAGAAACTGTTATTTACTAACGCAAATTGTTTTTGCTTTTGTCTATAGAAGAAGGATGAGTTGAATTCATCAGTAGAAAAATTAAAGGATTATTTGCAACAGAAAGAATTGCCATTCGAACCGATAGTGGCAATTGTTGGTCCCTTATTGAACATCGAATCATTTCATGTGATAGTGGACGATATTGTGTATACGACAAAATCATTTCTTGAAGCAGTTGATTTAAATTTTAAAGTATTTTACGTCTTCGATCGCGATTATCCCCCCTATGTCGATGATTTATGGAAGTTTCTTCAAAATGTGCTTTATGAAATACCTCTAATTGGCGAGAAAATGTCAATGCAGCATAAACTCTTAAGTGGAAAAATTGAAATGCTTTGTAAAACGTAATCAAATTTAAGTTTAGCTACTTTTTTCTTCAATTTCAGAGTTACAGACAATATTCAATCTGTTGTAATTTTTTTGTTCTTCTAATTTGACTCTAATAAGACTTCTCAAAAATTTTTGTTTATTCCACAATTTATGTAATTTTTATATAAAAATTCATGTATTTAATTCATTTAATTATAGTAAATTTGTTTATATTTGGAACAAATCCACTCTAATCAATCGTTTAGAGATAATTAAAACAAAGTGAAAAACAAATAAAATTATTTTCTATTATCAGATTGCTCTATATAAATAAAAATTAATTTTTCTTTCGTTATTTCTCAAATTTGTAAAGTGATGTGAATTGTATTTTGTATAAAAATTTACGTAAAATAATTGACGTACTTCATTTTACGAAATGCAGAGATAGACGAGTTTGTATTGATATAAAAGTTTATTGTAACTAATACTTTTTCTAACAATGCAAAAAGATATTAGATTTAAGAAATAAATTGTTTAATTTATTTAAAAATAAAGAAGTTTCTTAGATAAAAAAATGTGTTTATATCAATTATAAAACCCGTCAAAATTATTGAAACACTGATAAATAATTATTTTTTGAGAACTCCCAAGTAAATTGAAAACTACAATTATTTTTTATAATTTGTAGAATTAATTAAATAAAGTAAATGTGACTGTCCACGAGAAAACACGGCTTAGGTCCAAAAAATCAATTTTGAGTTTTTTATGGTAATGGACAGATTTTATGTTGCTTTTTCAAATGCAAAAGTTAAAAGTTAAAAATATCAATTACTTTCGACAATATATCGTTTTAAAGATGCACTGAGAGAAATGGATAGTCAGATTTTGATGTTAAAAAGATGATGTTACACGATACTATCATTATGCTACTGCCAACCATCCCAGATGCTAAAAAAAATATAGTTATGCTACCCCGTACTACCAAGATGTTACTCCTGATGATATTGATGGTAACGGTGACTATCTAGATAGCTGTCTGTATACGTAGCATTAAAGATGGTCACCCTAACCACAATTATGTTACCCACTACTATAAATTTCTCTCCGTGTGGGTATGTCAATCGTAGTACTTCAATCGCTCGCCCTGTGAAATTCACGTTTGGGAGCTAAGCCGTGTTTTCTCGTGGACAGTCACAAATGCGAAAATTGTTTTAAAAGTAGGTAGAATTTTTACTTAAAAAAAAAAAAAAAAAAAAAATTGTCAAACTATTATTTCTTATTCATTTAAAATGTTATTATTTATTTTAATAGATATTTTAAATTTTTGTTCTATATCGATTGTTACAAATAGAAAATAAATATTTCTGAACAATGAGATATAATATTTTATCTCTTGCAACTATTCTTAAATTGTTGATTGGTTCGAAAATAAGAGAATATTTAACGTTTCTCTTCTATTAATATTCAACATGATGATGAATTGTTGAAATAAAAACCAAAAACTGTGGTTTTAATAGACTTCAAATAGGACATCCACAGTAAACAGTAAAAAAGAAGTTGAAAATTTAAATAGTTTTATTTAAATTCCCAACTATAGGTGTGTATTCTTTACAGAATTATAATTCAATAAATAATTTATATAAATAAAAAAATTTGTAAGAGTTAAAAGTTTTAACAGTTGAGAGTAAGGAAAAAAAATGTACTAATTTTGTATCTTCTCCAGCAATACATAAGTTAAAAAAAAAATAAAATAAGTAACAAAATTTTAAAAAACTACCAGCAAAAGAAATATTTTTAGAAAATATTGCTAACGACATTTTTATAGAAATCTGTAAAGAGTACACGACAGTAAAAATTAAATCTTATATTAAGACAAGGCAGAGATTAATTGAATCTTGACAATAAAATTTAGTCGTAATTTAAAATTTAATTTCTGCGAAAATAATTTTAATATAAATAAATATGAAATAAAGTTCAATTTTACGAAGAACGTGAAATTTAGATTTAGTTATAGATATTAATTTAACGCAGGCACTGTCTTAAATTCAGCCGAAGGCTAATGATTTTTGTAGATAAATCACATTTAAATTAAATAAAAATCAGCATTAAAAGTCTATTCTGAAAATCAATAAAGAGTATCTCAAAAATGTTGCAACCTTAAATAAGACTCTTTCTTCCTTAAAATAAGATTTCCTTTTTACAGTAATCACACAAGTACAGTACAATATAACATGATACACAAAATTATCAAAATATCATAAAGGAACATAGTTAACAACATAGTGACAAAAATAAGTTTCATGCAAAGTATTCACCTTATTACTGATAAATCCAGTAATTGCAACTCAAATTATGAGCGAAAAGGATCCATCGATACTGGTAAATTCCAGTAAATTGTGACTCAAATTATGAGCCAAAAAGATCCCTCGGTGCTGGTAAAGTCCAGTAACTGTGGCTCAAATTCTTTGAGCCGAAAGTATTTCCGATTTTTCCTACCTACAACTAGTTCTACCTACCCGATTTCTACCTTCCCGATAATTTTTCGTTTATTTAAGCGTCTATTTATTGAAAATCTATTTCTAATTCACGAACCGCCTGTAAAAAAAGAACTCTATCAATCACACTTTTAAAAATTACCTCCCACCCTATAAATAAAAATTCCTACATTTTTGATTAAATAAAATGCATTCACTCCACGATTCTCTCTCATACCGCCAAGGTGCAAAAAGCCTACACTAGGGATAAAGGGGCACGTTAGGCTCACCCATACGTCCCGGGACGCATCCGCCACCTTAGCTCAAAAACACTCAAAAAAAGAAAAACAAAATTCCTGAAAGAAAAACACTTAATTGTATCCATAAATGCCATTTGCCAAGTCTCCAAAGTTGTGAACGTTCAAATGAACGAAATATTTTTTGTCAAAAATATTTTCATAAATTACAGATTAATTTTCATTGATACCAATGAATGAAAGTGATAAACTTTACATTTAGAAACTATATAATTAATTTTCTTTATAGTGACGCAAATTTATTGTAACAAAAATTTAATTTGAAGAAGAAATGAACAAATTTTGTTCATTTGAGCGTTCAGTACTTTTTAATTATTATTTGCGAAAAGTTCAACTTTAAACCAAGAATTGAATACAACATACATTAATCGAAAAAAATTTAAATAATTGATTAAAACGAAAAAATTGAATAAAGATGGAATGTATTAACTAGGAAAAATTTCAATTGCAATGAATTTGAAAATTAATAAAATATCACTGAGATAAAAAATGAAAAATAGAAATCTACTTTTAATAATTTTTAATCATAGGAAAAAGTTACTTGGCATCATAGCAAAAATGGCAAAGCATTGCAAATTAAACAATTGAAAGGTCATAGATAGCAAATAATATAATAAACATTGACAAAAATATTATTTACGTTGTATCAGAAAATACTACGAAAGAATAAAAATTGGCAATGGTGTCACTATGTTGTTTTTGTTCTTTCCCTGTTTTAAAAAAATTTCTAAATTTAATTCAATTTAATTTAATTTAAGTTTCAAATCGATAAATATAAAAATTTAAATTCACTTTTTAAAAATAAAAAATATTTGCAAAGTTTATAACTTTAAAGCAATATTCAAAAAATTGATTTTTGACTCTCAAAATTAATTTACTCTACTAATTTTAATAGCAAAAAATCAAATCAAAAAGCGTAATAAACAGGGAAAAAACATTTAAAAGGAAATTTTGTAATATTGAGTCGATTGTTTAATCGACTCACTTGTTTAGTGGTATCACAGTTTGTGATAAACCACTTTGGGATTCCCACGGTGGATGATGAGCCCACGTTGTGGCGATGGGTTCCCTACATCACCCCTTCTGGGCCACCCTTGAAGATCCCTGGCTCTTGATCGCACTTCTGCGCCAGGTCAAGGGCCACACGGAACCGTGAAATTAAAATTTAAACAAAAATAAATAAAAAATAGACTAAATACACTACTTTAAAAAAAACAAAAAATAGACTAAGTAAACTACAAAAAAAAAAATAAAAAAAAACACGGCAGTGTGCAGGGACCACTTTTCTTCTCCACATCTTTCGAATTAGACACTGAAAGAGAAAACTGATTAGAAAATTAAAGAACTTTAACCTTCTACCTACTTAGTTGACCGTTATCAAAAACAAAAAAAATACAAAAACTTTAGGGGAATTACATTCAAAAGCACCAGAATGGGGATCAGTCAGCGTAGGTAGAGGGTTAAATTAAAACTTAAAAGGATTGAAATTAAAAAAATGTTCTTCATCAGCTTTGGAAAAGACATTTTTCACTTACGTCAGGTGCCTATTATTAAATTCACAAAAAAACAAAGATTAAAAAGTTTTCAAAAGTATTAAAATATTAAAGAATTTCGTATAAATTTTATCCATAATTTTAAAACTATAATTTTGAAATTTTAATTTTACAAATAAAAAAAATACTCACTATTTCGAATTATAAGCGTCGTAGTGGAAGATCTGCATATTTTTCCATGAGTAAAATAAACTTCCTTTCTTGCAGCCCAGCTAAAAGAAAATAAGCAAAATTAATTCATTGTAAATAGAATAAGAATTTAAAATTCTCAATGAAAAATATTTTCTTTTTTTCTTCCGTTATTTGACACTGTTGATTAAAATGTTCATAAACTGTCATACCTATACCGCAAAGTTACCAAACCTTTGCGCGGTTTTACCGCATTGTGATAAAAATACCATAGCAGCTTTCATGACGATATAGTATTCGTAATGAAAGAATTTGCAATAAATAATTAATCCTTCCTCTTGTGGGCCAATAATATTCATGACATTTTCTTCCTTGGAAAAAAACATCCCCTGAAACTCAGCTGCATCCGACCTCCTCCAAGAGCAGCTCCGCAAGAAACTTTCATCCTTTAAAAAATTGACTCATGTAAATTGAAAGAAAAAACAATTTAATATAACATCTTAAGCAATATGTTAATTTGTTTTTACTCGTCAAAATGGAACTGAATTTTGATGGGTAAAAACAAATTAATAGCATTTTTGTATAGGTAAATAAAATCAATACGGTATAATAAATTTCCCTTTTTTATAAATTTAAAGAAACTTATTTGAACATTAATTGGAAAACGTTTGCAAAATATTTTG